CCCTGTCCCTTTAAGGCTTCCAAAAAGCACCCACCAAAAAAAAGGAAAAAAAAAAAGCCGCTTCCATTTCTTTGTTCTCTGGCATCGGTCTCAGGCACCCGCTCACCGGTCCTGCCGCCCTGTTTCCCTAGTATCCAGGACCCCACGCATGCACTGTGTCTGTGCTCTGGTCCGGAATCCTGGGGCTGGGTGTTCAGCAGTCCTGGGCTCCTAGCCCTCCTTGCTGACTCCTCTCCACCTTCCAGGAGCTGGGGGAGGGGAGCTCAGGTCCCACCGGGCCGGGGCTTGTATCTTACCCCCTTTGCGAGGCGCTGGGTTCTCGCATGTGTGGGTGTGGTCTGGATGTTGTCCTGTGTCCTCTGGTGTCTATTTTAGGAAGAGTTGCCTCTGTTATATTTTCATAGATAAATGTGGTTTTGGGAGGAGATTTCTACTGCTCTACTCATGCCGCCATCTTGCCTCCCAATTTTTCCTTTATTTTAAAACTTTTTTAAGGATATGGTGCATTTTGCCTATGGAAATCCCCTTGAACTTTACCTGTTAATGTGTGAAGATCACTTACAAAATCAAACACAAATGTTTTAAAGATATTTACTCTGTAATTCTTGTGACTTGGGAAGTCATCTCTTATACTGAAAATGTTTCATCTTCATCTTTCAATGTATATTTAAACATTTACATTTTATGCCTAGAATTATTTTATTTTTGTTGATTTTAAACCCTTAGTCTTGTTTTATTATATAGTGATTAATTTACTTTTTCAGATGTGGCCATACCACCTTTTCAATTACAAAAGATGAGTTTTGTCTTTCAGCAGGAAAAAAGCTATTCTCCATAAAAGATGTGTTGGACTTTTTGCTTTTTCTTTTCTTTAGTTGGTCATTATAGGAAGCAATTTGGGCACTTTTAAATGACATAAAGGAAGCAAAGTAAAACTGAATTGGTTGCTGGATCATATAAATGTAAATTATATTCTTCAAACTAAGGGATTATTCCTACTTATCAACTTAGGAAAAATATGTAACAAGTGCATTTTCCCATTATATATTCTATACCTTAATCCATGCAATCAATTGAAATGCATCCTATATATACATTTTTTCTGCCATACTCCCAATGTGTTGCTGTGTATTTATACTGCCATCAAGCTTTTATGTCCCCATTATATCTGAAGCCTATGGTAGTAGCTGTTGAGATACAAAGATCTATAACAAAGTCTTTCTCCAGGGTTCTTATATTTAAACACCTAGGTGTTCATTTGCCTATTTGACCATCTATGAGGCAATTTGTAGTACATAATATTAGGGCTTAACTACATAAATAAACATAGTAAGAGCAATAAGTTGTATATATGAAGTACATAAATCACAAACATATATATGAGAAAATGTAACCAGTATATAAATACACACATACACACATATACAGGAATGGTCACATAATCAATATTCTTAGAAAAACCTGATCACTTACTCAGCACGATGTGGTAGAAGTTCATCTGCTTTTTTATCATCTTCTTTTTCTCTAGGATCTTTTAAAACAAAATCAACTAAAAGAAAATTGTAAAGTTCTGATAAATAACCTTATATTAATTATAGTTTATTTCCAAGCAGTTACAAAACAAATTTTATTACAATTTATAAAACTATTTTGTTTTTAAAAACAATAAGCAACTTGTACTTTTATAAATACATGAAAGTAAAAAAAAAAAACTTGAGAAAATATATGACTCTGTGTCTTTGAGAGTACATGTTCCCTTTCTTAACAATGTAACCCTGTCCTTTTATCTGAAAATGATAATAAACATTTTCCTTTATAGCTATTCCACCAAAGACAGTTGTGGTTGAATTAAAGGTCAACAATATAGAGTAGCATTAGTTTCCTTTCACTGAAGAGATAATATTTTCTTGTTGGTCTCTTTAAGTTGCATAAAAGCACAGAACAATCTTGTTATAAAACCAGTAAAGTGAACTACTTCTACTTCTGTGTTTTATCATCTTGAATTTACAGTTAATTCTAGTTCTCTTGCTTAACTTTCAAGATGCTCTTTCTAAAATGCAAATTTGTGTGTTACCATCACAACCAATTGGAGAAATTTTTTTTAAGTATACATTGAAAGGCCCTGCTTCCACAGATTAGTTCAGATGGGTCCAGAAATCTCTATTTTAAAAATAATTCTGATGATTAGTCAATCTTAGAATCTATTGGATACCGCAAATCAGCAAAACTTTTTTATAAAGGGCCAGATCGTAAATATTTTTAACTCTGTGACCAGAAGTTCCCTATCATAACTTACTCAATCTGCTCTTATATCTCAAAAGCATCCATAGACAATATGCAAATGAATGTGTAGGGCTGTGTTCCAGTAAAATTTTACAGAAACAGGCAATGGGCCGGATAGGGCCTGTGAGCTGTATAGTCTGCCAACCACTGGTCCATAGCAACAACTGTGTAATTAATCACCTTCTAATTCATGCTATCAGTAAGATTAACATTGATTAAGTAGTTCACATTTTTATAACTTTTTTTGGTTCTTTCCTTTGTTGAGGGGCTATAACCCTACAAAAAGGAAAACTGGTTTTTAAATTTTTTGCTGTACATTTTTAACGAAATTTACCTAAGATCTTAAGCAATGAAACAGCAATGCAAGAAACAGCATAAGTATAATAAATAGTTTCAAGTATATGAATTAACTTTCCATTTAAAAGACTTTTCTTTAATAAGACACATGTCCAAATTAGAAAACAAAGAGAAATACAGATTTACCTATGGACTTTTTTACACTAAGAAGATAATCTTCTCTCATTTCATCAGATAATTCAAGTATGCTGTCAGTGAAGACTTTCAGATGTTGGGGGACTAAATTCAACACATGCTCTAGCCAAGAATCTTCCATTGGAGCTACATGGTCTGTGTCAATTCCATGGTGAATGTAATAGTAATATCTCTATATAAAGGAAACCAAGAAATGTAGACAGGTTTGCTACTATGATAAGAGAAGTGTGTTTATCAAAAATAAAACTACTAAGAAAAACTAAAGTTTTAGGAGAACAAAGTATTTACAAATCAAAGTATTTTGTGCAATTCATGTAGGCATTATCTGAGATCTCCACAATTAAAAAGGTATACATTATATTTCATGAAAATTAAAGCTCTTCTGTTAGTTCATAACTAGGGGCTAGAAAACACGAAGTTATATTACCAAATGTATAACGTACTGAGCAGAGCCCATGCTGAAGTAGAGTTTAGTGTTTCTGAATGTGTGAAAGTTTGGTATGTTAGTTTTTATCCTTTTATTATTGATGACCAGGGGCAGATCTTATAAGCTGCAAGTGCATCAATATCCTGACACATTAACCTTGGAAATATTATATGACAGGATTTAGGAAATTTCTAATAGGCCCATTAATATTCCACACTATAACTTTACAGCTGCTATTAAATGCATACATTAAATATTCATTGTAAGCCATACGGTATTTCTCTGAAAATGGATGTTAAATGTCAACATATTTTCACATGTCAATTAGAAAAAAATTTAATCAAAATATTTTCAATAGCAATGCTGAAGTCTTTGATAGTTACAATTAAATTCTTCTGTATGTGAAATACTTGAATAATTGGTAGTTCTAAAGTAAATTAATATACTTTGTAAAGTGTACAGTATTGAACTTCTCATAGAAGAATAAAGACATGTAAAAGTTGTACAAAACTGAGGACAGAGTAAAAAAAGGACCAAGTAAAGTAATCCTAAGTAAATTTAAGATTCTTTGAGTGTGGTCATAGGTGGCAAGGGAGAAACGATTTCCTCCATGAATCCAACAGAACAATTTTATGAAACTCCATATTTACTCCTACGTCCACAGAGTCCACAGGAGAAACACAGAATAATCTCAAAAGCATAAATGTATCTTCAAGTGCTTCCTTTACATTGAATTATACTGACAAGGAATAGCCCATTACCAAGATGTCTTTCTCTGTTGTAGAAGTGGTAGGTTTGGGAAGGGTGCTTTCATCAGGAGCATCTGAGTCTAAGACAGCATCTTGTTGCCTAAGAAAATGATAACCACACTATTCAAATGAACATATAGGGCAGTTGAAACATAAACCAATGCATTTCAAAGCATCAAGAACTGTCTTCTATTAAATCATAAGAAAAAATGAGTTGTTGAACATTTTATAAAGTGCATACATATTTGTTTGGTACTATATTCCTCCCAAAAGACTTTCTCCTTATTCATAGACAGTTAAATGGGAAGTGATTTTCAGGACCTAGTTCAGAGGTCACATTATTCTTGATGGCTTTACTCATTCTTCCTCTTTACTCCAAAATCAAGCTCTCTCTTCTCTGGAATTTTATAGGAATGTTCTTGCATTATTCCTAACATATGTACAGTTACTTATAAATATGGAGTTTAAACGGAAAAGACTTTAAGTGCATTTTTGCCAAAGACACAGATACATTCTTCTGAGGACCATTTCTCAGGTTTCTAGAGCCATACAAGTTAGTAATCAGTGACATAGAAGCTCGTGTGTGACTATGTATTTATTCTTGGACAACTGTTCATATAATACTATAGTGTTTATAGCTATAATTCAATTCAAAATCTATTCCACATATGAACCACATTTTGTGACGTCTTCTGAGGCTCCAGTATACAGAAAGGCATGGTTCACATCTTCAGGAAAAAGAACAAGTTTTTCTGAAATAGCTCTAACCTCTTTTTCATTGAATGTAACATGTTCTAGATCCCAGCTTCATCAGGGATAGATATAGGTGAGTTATTTTGTATAATAAAACACTCCTCCCCACTAACTGTCCAGAAGTGGAGACTGGAGCTTTATTCAATAAATGTCTGAGATACCATACCAAGATAGGTACCGGAACGGATCTTTTAAATGATTGTGTTCTGCAAATCCAGGAATCCAATATTTTGTGAACTTTACACTTATCTTTCTCAATTACATAGACCAGAGAAAAGGGTCAAGGCATGATCTCAGAAATGTCTCAGTTTAATTCAGTACAATAAATTCAGCTCAATAATGTTTATCAAGTGAAGGAATGAGTATAAAAGAGTGGTGGAAGACTTCAAGGTATTCTGTGGTTGGAGAGAGAAGGATTGATAATTCTAAACACAAAAGTAATCACCTCATTATTTTGTTGCTTGTAAAGAAGTACTAATATGACAGTAATATGTACTTTAGAAATCGGGGCATCTGGGTTCATATTCTGCCATTAGAAAGTATCTGACCTTAATAACTAGGTTGCTTTGTTTTTAATGTTAGAAATGCTTATCTTATCTACTTTGCTGACTCATGAGAATCAAACTTCACCCTCCGTTTGAGTACTGCCTGCCTAGAAGATTGGAGTAGAGTAGGCGAGGAAGACGAAAGTGGGGGCTGTAGAAGTGGCTACAGAAATTCTTGCAGTCAGAATGAAGATACTTTTAACTCTAAAACTCTATGATTCAATCATTCTGTGGTTATAGGCAAAGATTCTGTTCACTGGGAACAATAATAAGATTTTTATTGATCAGCTAGTGAGGCCCTAAGAAGTTCCACATGTGTTATGACTAATCCTCACACTTATTATTAAAGGAGACATAATGACATCATTATCTCCATGTCACAGATGAAGAAACTGAATGTCAGACAGAATAATTTGCCCTTTGTCATACTGTTAACTAAGTCTGAAAACAAGGATCTGCCCACCCAAATGCCCTTACAAACAGCCATGCTCTTTTCAACAGAGCAAAACACTCCACTCAGAAATAAACCGATCAATGTGGGAGACACTTTATCTGGTGAGGAAAAGATATGATGTACTTTAATACTCAAGAATGAAAGAACTATATTGATTTTTCCTCTTTATTAAACCTATAGAGATTTTAGGTTCAAGATGATGGCATGCACATCATTTTTTTCAAGTTTTCCTGTGAAAATGGTAGTAAAGTAAGTTTAACCAATGATTATAAAGAGGCTGGAGGGCCATCAGCTCAGCAGATACTTCAGTAAATTTCTGGAACATGAAAAGAAGATAGAGGACAGTGAAAACAGCACATCTCATATCTCACGCAGGAAAGTCCACCTGCCTAGGAGATCCCTAGGAAAGGATCTGGTCTTGCAGTCAGCAGGTACCAAAACAGGAAGTGAGTGGGAAGACTGAACGGAAGTTATCTAAACAAATTTATGCCAGCAAATTAGACAACTTAAATGAAAAGAACACATTCTTAAAAGGCAAAAAAGTACCAAACATGACTAAAGAATAAATAGAAAATCTGAATAGGTCTATAGTAGATAAACTAATTGAATTAGCAATTAATAATCTTCCCACAATGCAAAGTTCAGGTCCAGATGGCTTCAGTAATAAATCCTATCAAACAAGTAAGGAAGAAGTAATACCAGTTTTACACAAACTCATTCAGAAAATTGAGGCAAAAACACTTCCCAACTTTTTTTATGAGGCCAGCAGGGCCCTGATACCAAAGGCAGGCAAAGACAGCACAAGAAAAGTACAGTCCCCTTCTTCAATAATTAGTGTTGGGAAAATGGGACAGCTACATGCAAGAGAATGACATTGGATTACTATCAACTTCATACACAAAAGCAAACTCAAAATGAATCAAAGACCTGAATGTAAGACATGAAACCATAAAACTCTTAGGAGAAAACATAAACAAAAATCTCTTAAACATAAGCAGGAGTAACTTTTTCCTATACACATCTTCCTGGGCAAGGGAAACAAAATAAAAAATGAACAAGTGGGACTATATCAAACTAAAAAGCTTCTGTACAACAAAGGACAACATTAGCAGGAAAAAAAAGGCAACCTACAGTATGGGAGAATATATTTGTAAACAATTTATCCAATAACGGGTTAACATCCAAAAATATATAAAGAACACCTAAAATTCAACACCAAAAAAAACCAAATAACCTGATTTAAACAATGGGCAGAGGATATGAATGGACGTTTCTCCAAAGAAGAAACACAGATGGCCAATAGGCACATGAAAAGATGCTCTGCATTGCTAATAATCAGGGCAAAGCAAATCAAGACCACATGAGATATCACCTCACATCAGTCAGAATGGCCACTATCCAAAAGTCAAGAAATAATGAGTACTGGCAAGGATTTGGAAAAGAGGGAACCTCCCTAAACTATTGGTGGGAATGTAAATTGGTGCAGCCACTGTGGAAAACAGTATGGAGGTTCCTCAAAAAACTAAAAATAGAAATACCATACAACACAGTAACCGCACTTCTAGGAATTTACCTGAAGAAATCAAAATCCCTGATTCAAAAAGATATATGCACCCTATGTTTTATTGCCTCATTATTTACAACAGCCAAGTTACAGAAGCAACCTAAGCATTCATTAATAGATGAATGGTTAAAGAAGATGTGGAACATATACACAATGGAATATTATTCAGCCATAAAAAGGAAAGATATCCTGCCATTTGCAACAATATGGATGGACCTAGAGGGTATTATGCTAAGTGAAATAAGTCAGGCAAAGAAACAAAATACCATATGATTTCATTCATTTGTGGACTAGAAAACAAAACAAAACAAAATGAAAAAAATAGCAATAGACTCATAGACACTGAGAAGTGACTGGTGGTTACCATGGGGAGGGCGGAGGGAGTGGGAAAGATGAGGGGGATAAAGGGGCACAAAAATTCTCAATTAAAATATAACTTGGTCATGGGAATGGTAGTACAACATGGAGAATATAGCCAATTATCTGTAACATTTTCCTACATTGACAGATAGTAACTGCACTACTGAGGTTAAGGACTTAATAATATGGGTAACTGTTGAACCACTGTGTTGTATATTTGCAACCAATATAAGATTGTATATCAATGATACTTCAAAAAAAATTTGATAGGGGAAAAAGTACAGTCCCCTATCATTAATACAGACTTGAAAATCTTTAACAAAATATTATCAAATCAATTCCAGAAACATGCAAAAAAGGATTATATGTGAGGACTAAGTGAGAGGATGCAAGGTTTCTTAACATATGAAAAGCAATTAGTGTAGTATATGCCATATTAACAAAATAAAGGACAAAAAAGCAAATGATCATCTCAATGGACATTGAAAAAACATTTGACAAAAATCCAGTGCTCATTTCTGATAAAACCTCTCAACAAACTAGAAAAAAAAGAGAAGTTTCTTAATCTGATAAAAGGTATTTTAAAAACCTACAACTGACATTCCACATAAATGTGAAGCATGTAATGCTTTTCTCCTAAGACTGGGGATTCTATTCACCAATTCTATCTAACAATATACTGAAGGACCTAAGAAGTGCAAAATGAAAAGAGAGAGAAATGAAAGGCATCTGGATTGGAAATGAAAAAGTAAAACTATCTTTGTTTGCAGACCACATGATAATATGCATAAGCAGTTCTAAGGAATCTGTTTAAAAACTCTAGAACTAGTAAGCAAATTTAGTAAGGTCTTAGGATGTAAAATCAATAAGCAAAAGTCAATTAACGTTTCTATATACTAGCAAAGAACAATCAGAAAATGAAATTAAATAATTCCATTCATTTCAAAAAACACTCGGGAATAAATTTTTAAAAAGAGGTACAAGAATTGTACATTAAAAATACAAGACACTGCTGAGATCAAAGATCTAAATAAATGGAGAGAAATAACATGTTCATGGACTGGAATACTCAATATTATTGAACGGGCAGTTCTCCCAAAATTGATCTATAGATTCAGTTCAATGCCTACTAAACCCCTATAGGCCTTTTTTTTTGGCTTATACTGACAAGCTGATCTTAAAATGTACATGGAAATGGAAAAGACCTGGAATAACCAAAACAATTTTGAAAAAGGATAAATTCTGTGGACTTAAAACTACCTGATTTCAAAACTTACTATAAAACTAGAGTGATCAAGACAGCATAGTAGTGGTATAAAGTCAGACATACAGATCAATGTAACAGAAATAGTACCCCATATATGGCCAAATGATTTTCAATAAATGTACCAAGGTTATTCAATGGAATAATGTTTTCAACAAAT